AGTTCTATGGAAACTTCTGTTTGGAGGACGCTTAAGAATGATGCTTGTCGATTTCTTGTTTTTCCGGTGAATTTGATTACCTGACTTTGTTGTGGTTTCAATATTCCCTTGATTTTTGTTCATGAGAAATTCAATGCTTTTCATTTGATAGCCGAATAATGCTTTAGTTTTATGGTTAATTAATTTCTCTGTTTGTTAGAGATTCTTTTTGTAATGGGGTTCATCACCAATAGAATGTTGGAGAATATGTGTTCATCTCCTATTGCAGTTTGTTGTTTCTTTTGTATTGGAGGCAGGGCTGGACCTTTGATTCGCTACTGCGTGTTTCTATGAGTGACCTTTTCTTAAATGGAAGAATCATTTCTTAACATAAATCTTCTCTACTTTCATTCACTTCCTTTTTTTTTCCCTCCCTATTTCCATCTCTCTCGTCATCAATCTAGAGAAAAAGGTTCTTGAGAGTTCTATATCCATTTTTTTCCTTTGAGGCTAGAAACATTAGCTTCATTGCATTAGCAAAAAGTTACAAAAAATTTCAATGCACCCAAGAAACCACAAAAAACTCAAAAGTGCACACCGAGAGGATGCAGAGGATTTTTCTAGATCCATCCACTCATCCCGATATTAAAATCTTTCCTTAGAAAATTCTCTCATTTCTTTCATACCATAAACCCCATGTGATTGCCTTCTTAAATCTTACCATGAATCTATAGCAGTTTGGCCCTAATCTTGAATCTGTACAGCATAACAATTGAAGGATATTATCCTTGGTTGACTTATCAAGAACCCAAGAACACAACCAAAAGAAAGAAACAAGAATCTCAACGTTTCTGGCTGCTAGAACAATGGAAAAACAGATGTTCTTGGTCCTTCCCTGACTTGAAACAAAGTACAGCAACTTGGACTTAGATCAACGGAAGGGCATCTTCTTTGCAGCCTACTAGCAGTATTCATACCTTCCTACACAAAGGTCTTCAACTTCTTGGGACCATTCATCTCCTAGATCCTATTCATTATAGGTTGTGATTTTGTGAGCTCTCAGAACGGAGAGTTCACAGTAAATATGGCTGATGAACGATGGTTGTAATTTTCGTAGTTTAGGATTTAATTTGAATTAAGGGTCGTGAAAGAAAATTTACAAATTTTGAAAGTCATACATTAAAGAATGCTAATTTGAAAGGTGCGAAAGGCATTTTACAATTGATACCAACCTTGATTATCTCCATATTGCATTCAATAAATTTTTTTAAATTTTTTTGATGAGAAACCAAGCTTTTCCTTGTGACAAATGAAACGAAAAGTATATGAACAAGGCATACAACAAAACAGCCGACCAGGATGGGAAGTTTTGATTTCCACAAAAGAATCTTTTCAAATCCAGCCACCATTTATTCTTGACAAGATTAATTCAACCAATGATGTGGGAAAAAAAAATTTGTGGATTCTATCAATTCGGATGACGAGGAAGATTTAAATTTAAGCATAAGTAGTCAAGATTCCCCATCTTTCTTAGAAAATTAGGACCATATTCAGGAGGAATTTTCGGAGTTTTCATTTGCGGAAGATTTTAATTCTCTCTTTAAGGAAGGCCCATTGCCATCTCCCTCTTTAACAATTCCTGTACACAACATCAAAAAGAAAACGTCTGGCAAAGAAGTAGATTTGATTGACAAAGAGGAAGCTTTGGGTTCTAAAGATCATGGGGTTATGTCTTATTTTGAAGCTGTTAGAATCTCTTTAGTTCCAATCTTACCAAATATGTGAAGATTTTATATTCGGGTAGAAGAGGGGTTTGGCTCTCTTGCTCTTAAGTTTCAGCACTCTGATACCTTTTTAATAACACTCATTTGATTCACATAAGCTTTCCCATAGCCTTGATGGAAGGTTTTTTTTCGAAGAGATCCCTTTGTCTTTCAAGAGTGGAAGTTCTGTGGTTTGTTCTGAAGAGAGGTTTATTTTGGTGCATTGATCCTCAAACTTCATTGTGATTGGTATTGGTTTTTGAGACGCTCGGTTTTGGTGTATTTGGTTTCCAAGGGTTTGTACATGGATGCTGCTGTCAAGTTTTTACTTCAGCTTTCAAAGTTTCTTGTTTGTTTCTTTTGGTTGTGCTCTCTTCAGTTTCAGTCTGCAGCTTGGTATTTGTTTTGGATTATTTTTATGTCAAGTTTTCTCAGGAACTCAAAGATATATTCCCAGAAGATAATATTGGCGATGTCGAAGCTAAAGAATCTTCTCATTGAGTCCTCACATCTTGGTGGATGGTTTTGTTTTGTAGTTAGCTCGATATTGTCGTTGACTTTTATTATTCTTAATGCTCCCTCTTGAGCCTATTCTATGTTTTGTTTTTTCTTTTTTTTCTCCCACTCCTCCGGGAGTTTGTATTCTCGAACGTTTTCTCCTTTTTATATATCAATGAAAAGTTGTTTCTTGTTCAAAAAAAAAAAAGTTTTGTAGCTAAAGCTTATTAGGCCTCTAATTTTTAGTTTTTCGTTTTTGCTTTGGCTTTTGTCTTTTCGGGGTCGTCAATTTGTATTTGATGGTCTTTGTCCTTGGCTCTCTGTACTTGGTGGTTACTTTTCTCTTCGATTCTTTTAGGAAGTTTGTATCTTTGAACAATTTTCTTCCTTTTCATATATCCAATGAAAAGATTGTTAAAAAAAAGAAAAAAAATTACAGAACAACTTTGAAACAGACCCCATAAAGAGACATTAAGTCTAATAAGATCCCAAACAGACTCCTTGTCTCTTTTCACTCCCCTAAAAATTCAATTATTTCTCTCAAGCCAAATCACCGACAAGATAGCTAAGAAACAATTTTATCACAAGAAACTCCCTTTTCCCAAAAGGGAGAAGACATAAGCACTTCCTCCAACATAGCCCTGCACTTCCTATTACGAACCCAAGCCACCTCAAAGGTCTCAAAGAACCGCCCCCAAATGCCCTGAGAGAAAGGACAGTGCCACAACAGATGGTCCAGGTCCTCCTAAGCATTCTTGCAAATAACATACCGTTGTAGCCCCAAGTAAAACGAAGAACTCCTTTGAACACGATACAAGGTACTAATTTTCCCATGTAAGACCTGCCCCATGAAAAGCTTAATTTTCTTTGGAATTTTTACTTTCCAAAGCGAGGTGAACAGTGGGACTAGGGGAAAGAGAAAGGGAGCACAAAAGCTTGAAGAAAGAACAACAAGAAAACCCCTTCGGCAGACTAGGGGACCAAACACGGAAATCCTTTCTACCTCAAAAAATAGGAGCACCTGTGAGCATGAGAAGCAGCTCAACAACTTTCTGAGACTCTTTGTCGGTCAAAGACCGGCCGAGGCCTAGAGAAAGAGACAACCCAACCCCCCCTAGAATCTAACACTATGTACCCTCTTGTCAAATAAATGATAGAGACAAGAGAATAAAGAACAAAGGGGTTTAACACCCAACTAGAGGTCCTCCCACAAGTAGGTATCATGGCTATCCCCAATTGTCAGAATTGGGAGAAAAAAGGGAAGCCAGAGGAGATAGCCTTCTAGGAGCCGTTTGGTTCAAGGTTTTAAAAAGATTACCTGAGAATAACAAGCCTGGGAATGAAAGATACCTGTGTTTGGTTGTGCATGGAAATGATATCAGAATCTACTTTCAACAATTAATTTATATTAACTAATTTTAAATAATTAATTGTTGTTAGACAATTATTTTTTATTAGGCAAATTACTTAAAATAATTTAAAACAATTAGATTTGAAATTTAATTTTCATTCATTAGAATAATTATTGTAAGTAATATATTTTTAATTTTTTGTTTAGCAATAAATCTTAAAATTAAAAAAAAAAGTTATTTAACAATTTTATTTAGGATCTTTTAATTATAATTAATGAGTACAATAATCAAATTGAAGAATTAATAGTCCATGTTATATTTCATAAATAAAATAGAATCTGTATCAAAGTGACCGCTAAATATAAACAAAATTAATCATTTTCCTCATAGTCGTACTATTGCAAGAAGAACAAAAAAAACCCTTCTATTTTCTTTTGTCCGAAAATAACCAAAAGAACAAATGAAGAGAGAACAACATAGAATAAATTTCTTCTCAAATTAAAATAACAAGTACAATAAGAAGAACAGAGGAATAGATTAAAAGAATAACAAAAAAAATAGTAGTTGAAAAATGATTCAGCTTCTTGTTGAGGAAGAAGAAACTAGGGGTGTTCACGGGTTGGGTTGGGTCTGGTCTGGTCGGGTTAGGGGTGTTTTTTGGGACCAACCCGAATTTTTGGATTGGCCATATGTGGGAACGTTGGGTTGAAAAATGATGGCCAACCCAACCCAAAAATTTCGGGTTGGGTTGTCGGGTTGTCTTACCTACTTCAAAAACGGGCGGTGACGATCAACGGGCGGCGGTGGTGAGAGGAGATGGTTAGAGCTTTAAACTTGGTTGAGTGGACAAAAATGGAGGAGAGGGTTTGGTGTTGGGTAACAATGGAGGAGAGGAAGAGATTAAAGAGGAGATTAAAAAATGAGGTAAGGAAGAGAAACCTTAAATGATAAATGGATGGTTGAGATTAAATCTCAACGGACGGCTGAGATTGAACATAAAAAGTAAAGGTATTAATTAATAATTATTATATATATATATATATATATATAAAACAGTATGTCGGGTCGGGTCAACCTGACTTTTTCAAGGGCCAACGCGAGACCCGACCCAACCCAATCGGGTTGGGATTTTTCCAACCCAACCCAACCCAAGGTTTAATCCAACCCAACCTCGTCGGGTTGTCGGGTTTTTTAACACCCCTAGAAGAAATTTTGAATGAAAGTGATGAGAGAAGTGGAAAGTTACGCAACAAATAAGAGAGAGAAATATGATTTCATAAGAGAGAGAGGAGGGTTTTCAATAAACCCACCTTTTTCCACGGGATTTATTGTCCTTCCATTTAGCCTCGTAATGATGCCTGGGAATAATCTTTTCCTAGGCAAACAAATTTTGATCCTCCATTCGAACATGGGCTCCCAATTAACTAAGTGAACTCCACCCCCCCGTGCACTCCTTCCCAAAGGAAGTCTCTCATCATTTTCTCCACACTTTTACTAACTGACAGGGGAACTTTAAAGAGAGAGAGGTAATACAAGAGAATCCCAATTAGCATTGATTGAATAACCGTTAATCTCCCCCCTTTAGAGGAAAGGCCTTTTACTCAAGGACAGGCGTTTCTAAATCTTCTCCAATACCGGGGCCCAAAAGGCAACACTTAGGATTATGATTCAAGGGAAGGCCTAAATAAGAAGAGGGGAGATCCACCACTTCGCAACCTACCATGGAGGCCCAATAGGAAAATTTCGAGGGATCACAATTAATACCCAAAAGCGAACTCTTACCTTTGTTAATCTTGAGCCCTGAAATAGCCTAAAAAAAGACGAGGATATTCAGATTGTTAAAAGCGACTTCCTTCCCCGATCAGAAAAAGAGAGTATCATTAGTAAATTGAAGATGAGATAAACTTGTCCTCCCCCTCTCCCTACCCACAGTAAAGCCCTCCAAAGCTCCTTTATCTACACTTGAAGAGACCAACTTGCTTAGAATATCCACCACCAGAATGAAAAGAAAAGGAGATAGGGGATCTCCTTATCTCCCTAGTGGCTTTAATGTTCCCCCTAGGTCTCCCATTCACCAAGATCGAAAAATTAACCGAACTTGTGCAGTTCCAAATCCAATATCTCCATTTAAAGCCAAAACCCTTCCTCCACAACACTTGGTCCAAGAAGTCCCAATCGACATGATCGTAAACTTTCTCAAAGTCTATCTTAAAAATGACACCCTCCTGCTTCCTCTTCCTATAATCTTCAATAGCCTCATTGGCGATAAGTACCTGATCCAATATTGCATTCAATAAATTATGGAACTCCTAAATGATTGTTGTATTGCCGTTTCTCACTCTGGGCTATGCTTGTGAACTATGGACCATTTTTCTTGATCCAATATTTGACACCAAGATGCAGCCAACCACCAACTCTCAACCTTATATGGTGCTGGACATTAGAAATTACACTGTAAAATTATTGTTGGTACTTGGGGAATTTATGGTGGTGGAGATTAAAGGTATGTTTTTAAAATTTAAAAAAGTTTATGATGTAGAAATTTTAATTAGTTGAATAATTTTTAGAAACAGTTTTAAGGACATAAACAACGGCAACAGCAATAGTATTTCGTGGTTTTCATATATTTTGTTTGATGTTTTTTTTCAATCAATTGTTCAAATATAATCACTAATTGTCATTTAAGTATTACTTGATTTAAATGTTTATATTGAGAAGAAATAAATGAAAACACAATAACAAAGCAGTTTTATAAGATTGGTCTACAAAGCAGTTTCTGGAAACAATTTTTTAAAATACACCCAAACAAGCCTTAGAGACTTTGAATGTAAATGCTTTCTTTTGGTTTTGTATATTACATGTTTGAAGTCTTTATTGCATTCATATGTGATGGTTTTTGATGTATTCCAGAGCTGCCCAAGTGGATGTTATAATCTCGTATGGGTGTTCAAGGTTGGGGTCGGGGAAGACTATTGTTTTGATGAACATAGATGAAAGTCATGGATGTCACGGTTAGAAAAATATGACCTGTGCTCATGGAAGATATTCAAGGGTAATTTTCATCTTTAACTGAGTGAATCTCTCTTCTCCATACACTGTCATTTAGTTGGCTTCTATATATATATTTGAAAGCATTTATTCTTTTCAGGCTTAATGAGAATGTGCTCTCAAATGGAGATGTATATATCGGCAGTTTTAAAGATAGGCTGCCTCATGGGAAAGGAAAGTACATTTGGTTTGAAGGAACAATTTATAATGGTGATTGGGAAGATGGAAACATGACAGGTAAGGGAAGGATCATCTGGCCATCAGGAGCAAAATATGAGGGTGATATCTCTGGTGGTTATCTTCATGGCTTTGGCACCTTCAACTATTCTGACGGATCTATCTATAGTGGAGCTTGGAGGATGAATGTTCACCACGGGATTGGACGAAAACTATATGGTAATTTAGACATTTATGAAGGTTCTTGGAAAGAAGGGATACCTGAAGGTTGTGGTAGATACTTCTGGAGTTCTGGAAATTCTTATGTTGGGAACTGGAAGGGTGGGAAAATGTGTGGTAAAGGGATTATGAAATGGGTAAATGGTGATCATTTCATTGGCTTTTGGTTAAATGGATTTAGACATGGATCTGGAGTCTATCACTTTGCTGATGGTGCATATTACTTTGGATCATGGAGTAGTGGCCTCAAGGATGGAAAAGGAACATTTTATCCATCTGGAAACAAACCACCGTCCCTGGAGAAGTGGCATAACTTTCTTGGTCATGATATTGATGGAAAAGGTTTTATATCTCGGACGCTGTCACTAAATTCAGAGAAAGAGAAAGCCTCAAAGCATGGTCTTAAGCACAGTTATTCAGAGAAGATTTCCATCACTGGAATTCCAAATCCAGGAGGACTATCAAATTGGCCTACATCAATGGATGAAAATTGGGGCTTAAGTGATCATACTCGAGAAGCTTCAGCCGATGAATATTCTTCCATGATGTCCCATGCCTCTGACCAAAGTCAAAGTAATGTGCTGTATAATGATAGAATGGTTTATGAAAGGGAATACATGCAAGGAGTCTTGATACAGGAGAGGATTAAGGACTATGAAGAACTATTGCAGACAAGTAAGGAACAAAAGAAAACTATGGTCAAAGAAGGAAGGAAAGCGAAAGTGTCATGTGTGAATTTCTTTCAAAGTCATCGGAGCTATTATTTAATGCTAAATTTGCAACTTGGTATAAGGTAAATCAGTTACTTTAATGACTATATAGGTTAAGTTTTTTACTTAATATGGTGCTAATCTGGACTAGCTGCCTCACATTTGCCTCAGATAACAAATCTTTTAAGCAATGAAGGTAGAAAGACTTTAGATTGAAAGTATACCTAGGTGAGTTAAATGCCGATGATATTTTAGTAATCAATCTTTAGAAATAGCACAAACTGAACTTTTGTCTATGTTATCAGCCACATTCCCTTTCAATTTTATTTGACAAGAAATTATCTACATGATTTCACAACATTATTTTTCCTTTGTTGATATTGAAAAGAATGAGAAATCTATTATTTATTTTGATAAAAAATGAGAAATCTATTGTTTCCAATCAAGGAAAAAAAAAAGAATGAAAAATCTAGAAAATAGAATCATAAGAGTAGCTTGCAATTTCTAAATTATTACATGATGATTTTTGGGATCGGTAGACTCTTATCTCAATGACAGTATACGAATAAAGTTGGTAGGATCCCCTTTTTATGCGCCCATCTCCCCCTTGTGTGGCAATATGAGGGTGAAAAAAGAAATAAACTCTTACTAAATGAACATATTATTATAGAAATTAATGATTTTTTTGGCAGTGATAAAACACGTGTGTGGGAACAAAATGGGTATTTGTGCGTTCTTATACTTTCTACTATGCCAAGAGGATCAAGAATGTATCCTGTACAATCTAGGAAGCAATAGTAGATATGAATTCCAACATCTTGGATTTAGTTAAATTTTTTTGTAAATATAACTAACTACTATGGTTTGGTTTAGTGGCAACAGGGATGTGAAAAAAGATAAGAGTAAAGGAACCTTAGGGGAATGGGTCCAACCTGTATGACGACTACCTATCTAGGATATTAAAATCCTACGAGTTTCTTGACAACCAAATATTGGGTGTGCTCGAAAAAAAAGAACCAAATATTGGGTGTTAGGCGCTCGAAAAAAAAGAACCAAATATTGGGTGTTAGGCGCTCGAAAAAAAAGAACCAAATATTGGGTGTTAGGCGCTCGAAAAAAAAGATAAACTGATCAAGATATGTTCAAAATCAAGTAACAATCTTATGCAGAAGGGAATAGCAAAAGAGTGTAACCTTAGGAAACAAGGGATATAAGTTCTTGCTGTTCCTCTTGAAGCATTCCAGTATTGAAAGGCTATTGGAGTTTTTCTTTAATAGGATACAAACTTTTCATTGAGGAAGAAAATTTTTCAAAAATACAAACTATCAAAAGAACGATGGAAAAAAGAAAAAATAAAAAACAAAAAACCCTACTAAAAGAAATGAATGCATTCCAAATTGCACAAATAACAGTGGGCTCAAATAATTTTTTTTTTTGAACAAGATACGAACTTCTTATTGATTAATGAAAAGGAACAAAATGTTTAAAGGATACAAACTCCCGTAGGGAGCAAAAAAAGAAAAGATAAGAGAAAGCAGGATTCTAATCAAAGTGATACAACGCAAAAGAGCCGACGAAAAAAAACTACACAGTCCAAAATAGCTGCTGTCTAAAAGAGCCTCCCAATAGCAAGGAATCGTAAATAAAAGCTTCATGAATCTTGATCATCAAGAACATCGGAAAGGTCATCTTCTGGAAAAAGAGCTTTGAATTTCTGAGAATATTTGGCTCGAATATTTCTAACACCTTCAGAAAGCTCTCTTTCTCGCTCAGCTTGAATTTCCATCTTTCTTATAGAGTGTGCGTCAATACAAATATCCCTTTCTTTGCAAATTTTTGCAAGCTCGGACAAAAAGAGAACAATTAATCATCCATTTGAGAGGAAGATAAGCTTAAAATGAGCATGAGGGAAGAAACAATGTCTTCTTTAGAAACTTTCAGGGGAAGATTCATGAAGCCAACAAAAAAGTCCTCACAACAAGCCGAGAATAAGCTTCTGAATTAGAACAAATCAACCATGGAATCCCTACCATTAAATAAGAGAAGCAAAGGCAAAACAATGGAACCCCTACCTTTAAATAAGAGAAGCAAAGGCAAAAGAAGGTTCAACTTCTCAAAACACCAAGGATAATAAAAGAAGGAGATAATTTCTTAGAGAATTGGAACTAGCAGCCTTTGGAAATCCAACAAAGAAGAAATAAATTTTCCAAAAAGGTCTCCTTGAATCCCGCAAAAACCACCAATAAAGACGAACATAAAAGCTGTCAATGGAGAAATGTGAGGAGGCATTTTGGAATAAACGCTTCTTGGAAAATTGAACCATCAAACTGCAAGTATTCAATGAACTAAGATGAAAATTGCCTTCGCCATGAATGAACCTGCTTCTGATCTTCTTCGGCCCCCTCATACCACCTCCCATCCGCACTCACCTTCCTGCCCAATTGGAACTACACAGTTTGGAGATTGAGAGAGACCTTTTCCATCAAGGTGGATGAACACTTTTAGAGGTAGTGCCAGTCATACTTGGATCACTGAGATCGGAAAAGATTCCACCTTCTCTCTCTAACCTGGGCAACCTGGCTTTCCTCCTCCATCACACTCCTCATTGCCTCCCCCCTCACACACAAGTTCTTCAAAGAGCATCGAAGTGATGATTATGTTCTTTGGGTGGAAAAGCTCAACAACAAGAGGGGCTATTGGCTAGAGATTAACAAACTTGATAACAATGGGGGAAAGAATAGGCTGATGGTTCCATCGAGTGCTGACAAAGATGGATGGAAAGCTTTACATAGCCTTGTTGTTGATTACCCTGATTAGAAGGAAAAACAGGGTTGGTTGATACCATAAAAACCCATAAAGGAGACCCCCCTACTCACTGGACCCCAAGCCACCCATTACTCCACCTACAAGTGTTATTAATGATAAGCCACCAACTCGCTCATAGAGCCTTTACAAATCAGTTTTATTTCCTGAGATACTGGCTAGAAGCCGTTGTATACAACGACACTCCCTATACTATGACTGGCATACTATTCTCCAGACATTACAAACAACGTTTAGTGAGTTTTGCTCCTTAAGCCCCATCCTTACTCACAAAGCCCTGCTCATATACAAAAGCAGCGAACAGGTCGAAGCTCTTTGCAACCACACAGATTGGCAGATTCTTGACTCCATCAAGTTGCGTCTCCCCTCCTACGACAGTTGGATAATCATCTGGAACCTTCCCCTCCATCTTTGGAACGATGTTGTGGTTTCATACATCGATGACTAATGCGGTGGTTTTGTGGTTTTGTGGAGGTTGCATGAAAGTCTTCCTAGCTTATGGATCTGATGGAATTAAAGATAGAAATTAAGGAAAACAGAATGTGCTTCATCCCAGCAATGGTCAAACTTCCACCCGCCATAACCAAGGAAGATGCTCTTGTAGTACACATCGACTCTTTCCCATCGCCACCAAACTGACCACACGAAACAAGCTCCATCGCGGCCCATCACGACAACACAATAGTCGGAATAGTTTTCCTGGCAACAGCTACAATAGTCGACGGAGCTCTCCTAGAGTAACGGATGGAATGCCAGCCATTGTCACTTCCAATCCATTAAGATTAGACCCTTCAACTTGTTTTCGGCAATAAAAGGAACATTGGTTTATGTGAGAAGTTCACTTCCAAGGCTGAAGCAATATCTTTCCACTCATCATGTGCTTTGAGTCTTGTCACAACCTTAACATTATCCCACTCTAAATCAAGTACTTCGTGTTCTTTCAAGACCCGAAACAACGTCTTCCTCTCACTATTTTTTGTATTAATTTCAGGATCAATAGCTTTATTGGACAAGAAATCGCTTATCATGTCCTAGAAAACTACCCAACCATTTTTGTTGAACCTATAAAGCACAAAAATAAACTCTCTACGACCCGAAGAGGGCCGTACAACAAGTTCCAGAAGCCAACAAGTTCCAGAAGCCAACAAGTTCCCGAAGAACTTTGAGTGAAGGAGAAGACACAAGCATTCCATTAAAGCACTCTCAACCCAATAGAGTTGGGACACATGAAGAGGAAGATGAACGTTCTTATAATCTTTAGTAAAGTAATGGTCACTTTCTCACCAAACCCAATAAAATTTATTTGCAACATTGCAACTATTCGAATCCATGCTTTCGAAACCTTAAACTCAAACTTAAATTGAACCGACCTTGAAACAAATTTGAAGTGATAGACCAAATTGAAGAAGAAAACAAGCTTTGATCCCTAAAACCGCCTTTCTTATTTCTTCTGGAGAGAAAGGGGCCTCCAACCCTATTCTCTCTCTTGGGTACTAATTGAACCCATCCATGAAAGGGCCGAAACTAATGGAAGGAGAATATTGTTCACACGACATTTTTAGAGAAATTATATTTTTTGGAGTTGAACTTTTATGTTGTTGCGTGTTTGTGTAGTGGATTCAATCTCTAGTCTTTATCTTCCGATTCTCCTCTCAAACTTGATGTGAAGATTGAGATGCTTGTTCTTGAACTTAGATCAAAGTTTTGTGTTATTCGAAAGTCTTCCAGTCTTCAAAGTCTTCACGTTAGTCTTCGAATCTTCAAGTCTTCAATTTGACGTGTGAATTCTCTCAATTCTGGGAAAGAATAAACCCCTGGGGCCGGACGGTTTTTCACCAGAATTCTTTCTTAAATTTTGGAAGTTTTGGAAAGAAGCTTTCACAAGACTTTTTGCTGAATTCTATAGGAATGGACATGTGAATAAATGCCTCCGAGAAAATTTCATTTGTTTGATTCCTAATAAGGATAAAGTGGAAATGGTTAAAGACTTTAGACCCATAAGTCTCACAAATACCACCTATAAGATCTTAGCTAAGGTTTTAGCTGAACGACTTCGACGACATGTTATGCCATACACAATTTCTGTTAATCAGAGTGCGTTCTTGAGTGGTAGGCAAATTCTTGATCCCATCCTTATAGCTAATGAGATAGTGGAGTATTACAAAGTCAAAAAGAAGAGTGGTTGGATTCTTAAACTTGATCTTGAAAATGCTTTTGGCTCAGTTGATTGGGAATTTTTATCGGAGGTGCTTAGTCGAAA